TTGCTGATTAACTGCTGAAAGATCCAGATTACTGAAGATATGAACAACTATTTGTGTGTGTTGGTGAACCAAATAGTTTCTCTTCTAAGTCTAATTTTGCCCATGAGTTCTTTTATACTATTTTTGTTCCTTATTAAATGTTTGTAAATACTAATGTAAATAACTCTCTAATGTTCCACTTTATTCAGAAAGAGTGTGGCTTGTAAGTAAAGGTATATAAAGAATCACACAGAATGTAAAAATCTGATCCCGCTCCCACTGAAATCAATTCATGGAGTTTTGTCACTGAGTGAAGTGGGGCAAGGTTGAGGCGTCAACTCTGAATTAATCCACCTCTGATGCAGAGGAGGGAGTCAGGGAAATACATTCTGCCCAAAGGAGACAACAAAAAATGGGTGCTGAGAAAAATTTGAGATCCTTTTCACAATATAGATGAGTCTTATTAGGTCTCGGCACAGCATAAGTAGTGGAGAGGCTACTGTTGAATACAACTTTCCTGTCCATTATGCAAGTGGGGTGGCCTGACCCCAGAATCAAATTGCCATTCTTTCACTAGGATGGCGGGGAGGGGGAGTCTCTCTGGGTTTGTTTTTCCTTCCATCCATCTTCCCTTTTTAATCTTTGTTCTTCAGAGCTACTCTGTCCTTTTTAATGTTTTACTTAACTGTGCTATGCCTGTTTGGTGTAGAGTTAAATTCAGATGAAAATATTTAATATCTATTCACTTTAGATTTGTTGATAAGATACTTTAAATGAATGACTTGACCCTGAGGTGAGGTGGGAGAGACAAAGAGAGAGTATAGGAGGAAATTCTCATAATTTTGACACTGAAAACTTGTCAAGGGCTATTATAAGTAATATATTAGACTGAAAATTGTAAAACGTACCTAACATTTTTTCTTTATTTTACTTAAGAAAAATTTAAGAAACATAAAAAAATGGTGTTGATAGCAGCATATAATATAGATATACCTCCAGGAAAACACGTGACCCTGGGATCAGTCTATGGGTATGTCTACACTTACCCGGTAGTTCGGCGGCGAGCGATCGAACTTCTGGGTTCGACTTATCGTGTCTTGTCTGGACGCGATAAGTCGAACCAGGAAGTGCTCGCCGTCGACTGCGGTACTCCAGCTAGACGAAAGGAGTACCGCGGAGTCAACGGGGGAGCCTGCCTGCCGCGTGTGGACCGAGGTAAGATCGAACTAAGGTACTTCGAACTTCAGCTACGTTATTCACGTAGCTGAAGTTGCGTACCTTAGTTCGATTTGGGGGGTTAGTGTAGACCAAGCCTACATGTCCATTACACTTGATTTAAAAAAAAAAGGAAAAAAAAAAAAAGGTATGCATAGTTTTCCACAGTTCAAAAATTCTCCATCACTAATAGACTTCTTGTGCAGAATTTCTGTCACCAGAACTCATTTTCTAAGACAAGACCCAACTGTGTAAACTCATGCTACAGTATTTTAAGAAATATTAATATTAATCCAATTTTAACATGGAAAAAAATGTTTAAAAAGCACAGCTAGTAACAAATCTTCTAGATACTTAAGCATAGATAACTAGATGTGACAGTATATAGTTAAACTAAACAATTTTGCATTCTACAAACTTTCCCAGATATTGGTCTCTATCACAGTGTGTGATCATATGTGTGTGTGAGAGAGACAGCAATCGCCAATTTTTTTAAAGCGTTCAGTATAAAAAAAGCTATGTTGCAACCATCGCAAATTCCTCTTAGGAAACATTATAGCAAATTCACATATTTCTTGTTTCAAAACTATACTCTTTTATAACAGCAATTAACTTTAATATAATTATTTGTCACAGTCTACCGTGATTAAATAAATACTTTACATCAGTTGAGTCAAACATCCTTCTTATTCCTATGGTTTTCAAATCAACACAACTTCATTCATATGTTGGAAAGAGGTTTCCCTCTGTAGGGATACTCTTCTTGATCTGATGACAAATGTTCTCAGTAGAACCAGAGTCAGACATCTATTCTGGGGAAAATACCATAACGAAGACAAAACCAACATTTTACAGACCTAGGGAAGGAAAAATATCTAGTAATGCATCTTGCTCTACTGATAAGGAACTTGAAAACATCTAGTGCAAAAATTCTGAAAGGTGTGTGTGTGTGTGTATATATATATATATATAAAAATGACACTCCACAGCAGTAGCCAAGTTTACTTCTGAATTCTAAATTATTTTCATCCATAAATGTAGCCAACAAAAATACTGTGTAGTAATCACTCAGTCAATGGTTTAAAAGCGATCCACCTGAAATGTTGTACATTCATAAGGTGATCCTTACACGAGTAGTACAGATTTCCAGCTGCTAGCTGTAATGAATGGGAGATGGAATGTATTTAAATCAAATAGCACCATCTAGCAGGCCCCCCATAACTTCACGTAGGAGGGTAGTTATTACTTGGTGATAGCTCAGTTTGACAGGCCTCACTTGTAGAAGAATATTAAGGATTTTTATAATGCAAATTAAAGTAGTACTGCCTTATTGGTACAAAAGTTTGGAGGAAAAGTAAAATAGAAAAAGATATAAATTTTAAAGTTTCAGACCAAAGATTAAAAAAAAACAATACTGCAAAATCTTCATAATGCAAGCCATACAGGAAGTAAAACTAAACTATATCTATAAGGTCATCATTCTGAAAGTCAGATTCATCTGAGGATCCCCTTACAGATTCAACAGCAAGATAATATTAGTTGGTTGGATTTTAGCAATTTGCAAAGTAGATGACACACAGTGATAAGTACCAGGCACAAGACAGCTGAAATTCTTCTACAATTTCTCTACACAAGTCAAACAAAATTATGTTTGTCCTAATGTATGAGTATTTAACTCTTTTTGCAAAATATTTTTGCAAGAAGCACCAACAGTTGATTAGTCTGTCCAAGTTCTGTCTCAAACCCCATACCAGCAATTCTCATTTCTTGTCAACAGTTCCCTATTACAAAGTTATACATATAGTTCCCAAACATCACGCAATAACAGTGCTTTAAATCTCTTCAAGCATCTCCCTCTCCTTTGTCTCTCAGCAAAGATGCCTGGCCTGCTACTGCTCTAGGAAGTGTGTGTGTGCCAGCCTCTGGAATTAGGAAGTGCTGCTCCTCTAAAATACTGCAACAAGAAAAACTTTTAGGTGAAGGTTCAAGACAAACCGCCTGAAGGAAACTCATCAGTCATGCCTGGACTATTCAGTTTCATGTTAAACGCAATTCTAGGGTGGTGTGCAATGTGATGTGCAATGTGATTTCTGCACAAGACATATACAAATAGTTTTTCTGGCTGGAGGTCCCCTTGCCCCCTCAACGGCTTTATCCTGAGCTTTCACAGGCTGCAGCAGACGGACTGAATGGTCCTGGCCATACGAACTGAAGCCACATACTATACTCTTCCTTCTCCCCCTCTGCTGTACTAAGCCCATCACACATGGGCTCTTCCTCCTCCTTCACAGTAAGCACCGCCTGTCTGTGCTTCACTAATCTTAATAATGCAAACCAAGGCTGCAAGTACAGCAAACTTAAAGGGATACCATCAACTTGAAAGTCACATTTCTGTCTAAGCATGTTGTACCTACTATAATTACCAGTAATATCTAACAGTACTATAACTGAAGGAAGCTAGTCAAGTCACTTTATTTCTCCATATTTTTCCAGTTTATTTATTTTGTGCATTTGGTTGTGCTGTGTATAGTCAATTTCACTGTTTCCCCTGTACATCCAGTCAGTTTCTCCCTCTCTGAAAAGATATTTGTAAACATAACCAGGTGAACAGAAATACACCTATACAATTTATTTTAAAGGATGTTTTTAAAAAGATCAAGCTATGATATTCAAAGGGGGCTCCTCAAAAACATTTTTTTAAGATTAGTCAGTTTTTATAAATTCAAGTTCTTGGTGTCCCTTTAACCTCTGTGTTGGGGATACAGGGGAAAGGGATGCCTCATTGACATAGGACAGAGAGCCATCTAAATTGTCACTGGCTGCACTGTTGGCACCATCCCACCACACACATACAACTACACAAAAGCCCCCCACAAAAAAGTCAGTACCATCTCCCCTTCTTCCCCAAACCAACAGGCGCTCATAATATCTCTGTATTCCTCCTACACAACCCCCTTTTCCCTTTCTCCTCAAACCACAACATCCCCACTAATCCCTTTTCCCCACCCACAACCCCAGTTTCACTCCCAAAGAACAATACACACACACACACAGCCCTTCCTCCCCTACACACAGTAACCCGCTCTCCTGCCCCCACCCTAGGGAGGGATGTGGCTGGGAGAACACATCAGGGCTCTGGCGGGGAAGGGCAGGGGGAGATACTAGGTCCTGATAAAAAGTTGAGAGCTGCAGAGTTACAGGCAGCACAGGGAGCTTCTGCCTCTCCCACCACAGCGGCGCCCCCCAGCAGCACAGGCTAGGCTCTTTGTTACCAAAGTTAGTCCAACACTTCCCACCGGCACAGACCCCCTTTGGGGACGGGGGCAGGGGAGGGGGGACCTCCCCCAACCTTCCGCTCCCTGCCCTAGACCCTGACCCTCCAAAGCGAGGGGCTCAGCCGCGCTGCACCCCCACCCCACAATGCGCGGGGCTCAGCCATCACCTGCCTTTCACCCCGCGACGGGCGAGGGGTTCGGGCGCCTCCTGTCCCACCTCCCTGCCAAGCGCGGGGAACTCAGACGCTCCTGCCTCCGCCACCCCCCAGAAGCGAGAGCAGCTCACAACCCTCCTGGCCCCTTCCCCCACCTTGCCAGCGAGGGGCTCGTACACCCAACTCCTAACCCTCGGGTCCTCCGCACCCCAAGCCCTGGCTGCCCCACTCCGGCTCCCCGCTGGCTCCCCTCCGCTCCGCGAGCGTGCGCGCGACCCCCTCTCCGGCGAGCAGGAAAGTTACTTTGTGCAGGGTCTGTGCGGGTGTGTGCGCCCCCCGCCCAGTCCGACTGTGCGGTCCGGCGGGCTGTACTCACTTCTCCCTGGCCTGGCTGTCGGACGGGACGCTGCTGTTGCTCTTGCCTTTGCCGTACATGCCTGCAGAGCGCTCCGACTGTCACGCACCTGTCAACCCATCACAGCCTCCCCGGGAACAGCCCCGTCACCATGGAGACACTGCCACACACACACCCCATTGGCCCGCTGCACGTTCGGGCACGCCCCCAACACAGTGATTGACAGGCGGAGACCAGGACAGGCTGCTCCCTCCTCCTCCCCGCTTCCCCCCCCCCCCGGCTCCTCCTCCCCCTCCCCTCTCGCGCTCTCCCTTCCTCGGCGCAAGGGGGAATTTGAAACCGTTCTAGAAGGATTTTAAACAACTGGCTGTTCTGTGCGCTCGGCAACCCCCCTCCGCCGCTGCCGGAGAGGGAGCGCGCTGGGGAGAGAGGGAAAGTGCGGACTGGACTCCGCAGCCAGCGGCACCCGGCAGCTTCAGGCCCTCCCCCCACCGCCCAGCCAGCGGCACTGACAGCTTCAGCCCCCTCTCCCCACGGCCATCTAATCAACCGTCCTCTCCCCCTCCCCCCTGCTCTACCACCCACAGGCCGCCGCGCCGGGCAACGAGACCTGCCCCACGGCTCAGCCAGCGGCATGAGCGTTACCCCGGCCCTGGTGTTCAGCGGGGGAAGTGAGGCCCCCACACAGCCGCCTCAGCCCCCCCGCTCAGCACCCCCACAGCCAGCCTCAGCCCCCCTCCAACAGCCGCCTCAGCCCCACAGCCAGCCTCAGCCCCCCACTGCTTAGCCCCCCCCGCTCAGCACCCCCACAGCCAGCCTCAGCCCCCCACTGCTCAGCCGCCCCGACAGACAGCCTCAGCCCCCCACTGCTCAGCCCCCTGCTCCCTCTACTCAGCCCCCACCACAGCCAGGCTCAGCCCCCTGCCCCCAACTGCTCAGCCCCCACCACAGCCAGGCTCAGCCCCCAGCCCCCCACTGCTCAGTCCCTAGCACAGCCAGCCTTAGCCCTCCCTCCACTGCTCAGCCCCTGCCCCCCCACAGCTCAGCCCCCCGCACAGCCAGCCTCAGCCCTGTGCCCCCCCTTCCCCCCCCCCCCCCCCCCCCCAGTTCCCTTCCCCCCCCCCCCCCCCCGCTCAACCCCATGCCCACCCCATGGCTCAGCCCCCAGCACAGGCTGTCTCTGTCCATCCCCTGTCCTCCCCGCACTTCACAGTGACTAACACAACCAGTCTCAGCCCCCTCACCCCCCACTCCCCTGCTCAGCATGGCCTGCCTCAGACCCCTGTCCTCTTCCAAAACTTTTTTTTTTTTTAACAATTTCCTGTTACAACTGTGGATAGTCTTGTTCTGGGGCCTAATTCATGATTTTGAATGTTTGGGGTTTGCAATACTACTTACATTTGGAAGGTGTTTGATGGAGAGCAACAGTCTAGCCCTGCCCTGCCTGTGGAGAGCAGCAGCAACAGACTAGCCCTGCCCTTCCTATTAATCAAATTAAAAGAAAGGGTCTCAACACACAATGTCCTGTGAACCAAAACTGTAGGATTTAGAACAGATTTAGTAACTCCCATATAAAGAATATTAAGAGAAATGATGTACTTTTTTTAAAGCTACACCAGGGACATCATTTTCATATGAAGACTCTCACCATTATTATTGTTTACTATTTGTCTTATGGTAGCACCCAGAAGTTTCAGTCAGAATGAGGGCCCTATTGTGCTTAAAGAGCACAAGAGCAGCCATACTGAATCTGACAATGGCCGTTGCCAGATGCTTCACAGGAAGTGAACAGAACTGGGCAATGTATCAAGTGATCCATCCTCTTTCATCCAGTCCCAGCTGCTAGCAGCCAGAGGTTTAGGATAACCCAGAACGGGGGTTGTGTCTCTGACTATCTTGGTTAATAGCAATTGATGGACCTATCCTCCATGAACTTCTCTAATTCTTTTTTGAACTCAGTTATATTTTTGGTCTTCACCACATCCCCTGGTAACCATAGGCTGGAACTAGGGATGCTGCTGCATCTCCTAGCTTGAAGTGGTTTCAATGATATACAGAGTTTACAGTTTGGTTCAATGACTCTTAGCACCTCCACTATACAAATTGTTCCAGTACCTCTGCTGGCAATGAGTTCCACAGACTGACTGTGTGTTATGTGAAGAAGTACTTCCTGCTGTTTGATTTAAACCTGCTGCCTATTAATTTCATTGAGTGACCCCTGGTTCTTGGGTTATGTAAAGGGGTAAATAACACTCATTCACTTTCTCCACACCACTCATGATTTTATAACCTCTATCATATCCCCCCTCAGTTGTGTCTTTTCCAACCTGAACAGTCACAGTCTTTTTATTCTCTCCTCATATGAAAGCTATTCAATACCCCTAATGATTTTTGTTGTTTTTCTCTGTACTTTTTCCAACTCTAATACATCTTTTTTGAGATGGGGCAACCAGATGGGCCCAAAGAATGGGCATACTATAGATTCATATAGTGACATGATATTTTCTGTCTTATTATGAAGCTCTTTCCTAATGGTTCCTAACATTCTGCTATCTTTTTTGATTGCCGCTGCATATTGAGCAGATGTGTTCAGGGAACTATCTAAGAGCTATTTCTTGAGTGTAACGGCTAATTTAGACCCCATCATTTTGTATGTATAGTTGGGATTATGTTTTCCAATATGCACTATTTTGCATTTGTCACCATTGAATTTGATCTGGCATTTTCTTGCCCAGTCACCCAGTTTGAGATACCTTTAACTAGTTACTGATCCTTGAGAGGACCTTCCTTCTTTTCCCATTACTGCTTACTTTGCACTTTGGTGACTGGACTTGCCAGAGTTTATGCTCCTTTCTATTGTCCTCAAAAAGATTTGACTTCCAATTTTTAAAGGGTGTCTTTTGTCCCTAACTGCCTCTTTTATGTTGTTGTTTAGCCATGGTGGCATTCTTTTGCCCCTCTTATTGATTTTTTTTATTTGGAGTATACATATAGTTTGAGCCTCTATTATGGTGGGGGGTTTTAAAAGTTTCCATGCAGCTAACAGGCATTTCACTCTTGTGACTGTTTCTTTTAATTTCCATTTAACAAACATTGTTTTTGTGTAGTTCCCCCTTTTGAAGCTAAATGTTACTGTGGTGAGTTTCTTTGGGTATTTTCCCCCCTAAATAGATGTTAAATTTAATTTCATTATGGTTGCTATTACCGAACGGTAATGCTTGGTGCTTTACAAGCGTAGGTCCTGATCTTACAGACCCCTGTCCCTGGGCTTCAGACCCCAAGCTCTAGCCCAAGCCCAAAGGTCTACACAGCTCTTTTTAGTGGCATAATGCGAGCCCGAGTCTGTATACCCAGTCTGGAATCATCTAATCTCCTTTGGAAGTTCGTTCCATAAACAGATTTCCTCAATTGAGAAAGCTGTGTCCCCAGCTTTCACATATTGCATTCAGGGTAATGTGCAAATGTCTCAGCAGCTCATAGATCGAAATTTGGCCTTTAATGTAGTTGAGGCTTGATCCATTAGGGGTGAGATGAACTATGAAAGGGTGGGAATGAACAACTAAGAATGAGCAAAATGAGTAGGGTACCAATAACTCTTTTATAAATTGTAAAACTCATTCTTCTGGATCCCCCATGTCTAGTAATGAAATTCAGAAGATAGTGTCAGAACTGTGCTTTGAGATCCTCCAGTGAAAGGCATATAGAAGTATTATTACTTAATTAGGGTGTATGAAAAGAACCAAAATACTCATAGGACTTTGTTTGAGATTTGCCAAGTTAACATCACAACTGCCTTCACAAGACTGCTATCATCTTGTATTATGTGTTATCAATACAATGCAAACAAAACATTATCACATGGATACAAATGTTTGTTTAGTAAACAGATAGATTAACATGAAAACATCCACACAGTCTTATGAAGTTTTGTGTCATTAGTCCTCTTTAAAAAGTATTTACACATGTACATAAAACATATTTGTGCCCTTGCTCAAATCATTTTGAGTACAAACACTGTTCTTTGCAGCAGCATTGTATCTCATGGGACCAATATTGTAATTAATGAGATTTGAAACACATATACTGAGACAAATTAAGATCCTAATATAAAAAAAATGAAGATCCATTGTTTTTGTTTAAAAGGGGAAGGGGGTTACTTTAAAGCTTCTTAGTCCAAAACTGGAAAGGAATTCACAATGTATTTTTAGAGTGTTATAAAAAATCTCTTACATAATGCTGATTAATTCTTAGGTTTGAAGGAAGAGCACCAGGCTTTGTGTGTCAGAGTGTTGACCAGCTGAGCCACTGAGGGAACGGTTTAAGATTTTTTTTAACTTCTAGATATAGAATGCTGCAATTATTCAACTATTACAGGATTTAGCTTTTGTTTGGGCATCTATGAAGATTGCTCTGTTCCTGGAATCTGCATCTTATTCTTGGAAGTCTTTATCATTTTAAAACATATGTTATATTATATCACCCTGCCTGAGATATAGGATAGCTGCAAACCATTTTTTCTTTTGCTTTTCTTTTACTGCAGCTAGTTATGTTGTGGAGTAGCGTTAAGAATGTCTGCAGTGGCACATTATCAGTGCAGCTCTGTCATAATGGCTGTTACTTCTGTAGAGCCACTAGTGCTCCACTTTCTTTATATGTTTATTATAATGATGTGAATAATCAATTTAAAGTTCTTTTCGTTTTGTGGATTTTTCAAAATCCCAGCTATTGTAAATGGCTGAGTTCAGACAACAGTCTCTTCCAAGACATTATATTTCAATAGATCCAGTCATTAAATGACATTTCCTTATTTTTAATACTAGTTATACCTGTGTAGTTTTGAAGTGCAGCTGAAATGAATTTTTGGCTAGCTGTCACATTTTAGAAATAAGCGTCATGGGGAAGAATAGACTAGGCTGGGTCTTTTTAAAAAGACGTTTTTAGTGTTAGGTTAGCCTTGGGGATCCCAAGAGTTTCTCCTCCTTTTTAAATAGGTTTCATCTCTCCATGAAATTTTGAACTAGGGACCTGATTCTGCAATCGTTAATCACCGGACCACTCATATGAATGAGGATTGCTCACCTGAATAAGGG